CCATCGAGCAATATTGTCATCATAGGTTTTTGTTTAACTATAGGCTGTGCCCAGTATGCATCAGAGGAACCAAAGCCTTGATCCCCTCTCTTAGGATTCTTATATTTGTGATTAGTAGGAATCATTGGAAATAACAATAGTTGAGCTATCCTCTTTCCTGTAGGAATGGTGACTATATTCTGTATTGCCTTGGCCATTACCTTAATCTCACCTTGATAATCACTGTCTATAACTCCAGGAAAAATTTGTAGTCGCTGTATAGTAGCACTGCTTCTTCCCACTATCAGGCCAAACACATTTGGATAGAGTGGTCCAAATACTCCAGTAGGTAAGGCCTGAGGTCCCATTTCTGGAGTTAATACTGTGTGGGTGGCAGAACTGAGGTCCAGTCCTGCGCTTCCTGGTGTTGCTCGACTAAGTTCAGAAAGGGATTGTTGTTTGCTGGTATGAAACTGACTGCCCCATAAGCCTGTTTTGGCTTGTGTTGGTTCGGGGCCTGGGGCTGGCCCCTGTTCCCATTTCCCTGATTATGGGAAAGGGCGTTTCCTTGTGCATCTGTCTTGGACCTACATTCACTAGCCCAATGCCTTCCACGTTTGCAACGTGGGCATAGGCCAGGCTGTTTTCTAGGCTGTCTCTGGGTTAACTCATTCTCTGCCTTGCAATCTTTTGCAAAGTGTCCAGGCTTGCCACATTTAAAACAAGCCTTTTTGTCTCTGCTTGCCAAAAAATCTCTTACTGATTGTTCTTGCATGGCAGCTGCCATAGCTAAGCCCTGTTGGTAAGAGGGCCCTATGTCAGAACAGAGTCTGATATACCCAGTAAGGTCTGTCTTTTTCCTATAGGGTCTAATGGCTGCTTGGCAAGCAGGATTGGCATTTTCATATGCAAGCTGTTTCACATAATCTACACCTGCCTCTGCATTACCAAAAATCCTTCCTGCTGTTGTCATTAATCGATGAACAAAATCAGAAAATCGTTCATCAGGCCCTTGTCTGACGGAGGTCAAAGATGCACCAGGGTCTCCCTTTACCGGGAGTTTGCGCCAAGACTTCATGGCTGCATTTTGAATTTGAGCGAATAAGCCTGGGTCATATTGCATTTGGTTATCACTAGAAGCAAATTGTCCTTCTCCTACTAAGGCTTCAAAGGACCAACCATTACCTGCCTGAATGTTTCTCCTAGCTGTCTCTTTACAATTCTCATGATACTCTGATTTCCAAATAAGATACTCACCACCGCTAAGAACTGCTCTCACTAGAGTATTCCAATCACCAGGAGTCAGCCACTCCTCTGCAACAGATTCTAAGATTGCAAGAGTAAAGGGAGCAGTGGCACCGTATTGGGCCACCGAATTTTTTAATTCTTTAATAATTTGAAAATTAAACCCTGTGTGATGTCTCCACGCAACCCCTTGAGCGTCTCTAGTCTCTGATACAGGGAAAACCTCAGCCTTTCCCTCCTCTGGCTGATCTGTGGCTGAACTAAAACCAGAGGATAGGGGCTGCCTTTGGATTCCGGGTTGAGGAACACAAGGACTTGAGTAATTTTCACAATTAGCCTCGCCCTCTTGAGAGATCTTCCCTGTCCTTAATTTTTGTAACTGATTAATTAAATCCCGATACTCTTTCTCTAATTCTATTTGCTGTTTAAGAAAAGAAATTTTGTCCTGCAACTCCTTTCTGTGGTCTACAACCGCCATCTCCAGAGCAGGAGCATCTGGAGGTGGAGGAGTGTAGGGAGGGGGCCTTCGGGAAGTGGGCCATTCAGGGTCATAATTTTTGGCTGTCTCTTTCTCTAGGTCAGCACAATCTAGCTCTGACAAATCGATTACTTCAACCTTTGGTCCTATTTTGGATTCTATGTTTTTCTTTTTCTTTTGAACATGAAAGACAACATTTAAACAGCGAAACAAAAGCAGACAATTGACACACATAAACAGCAAACAACAAAACAAAAACAGAGAGTTGAGTTCAGGCTGACTTATTTCTTGCCCCATTATCATTACTATGGCCGACTGGTCTCCGCACAGCTGCCACAGTCACCTCTGTTTCACTTCTGAAGTTTCAGTCGACCCTTCTTCCGGTAACGTCTCTCACTGAGCCTCTCGTTCTTGCCGCCTCCCGTTGAGCGCCACTTTGTAGCTGCCTGTTCGGGTCAGTCAGCAGGGTCTCCAGCGCAGGAGTGAGGATGCACACTTCCAATTCTCGCTGTCCTTCACTGTACCCCGCTTACTGGAGCCCCATGTTGGGCGCCATTTTGTAGCAACCCGAGCTACCTCACGTTCTGGGGGCCATTTTGTAACCGCCCGTTCTGCTGCTCCGGTCAGCGGGTCAGGGCCTAGCAAGAGAGAGAGTGGGGACGGAGACGCGAAGAATGGAGACAAGACAGGGAGTCTGATCAAGTCTCTCAAGTCTCTTTATTGGAAGGAAATCTTGGGTATTTATATCCTTTACCACGTGTCTTGTCCTCGTGGACAAGCACAGCTGAAGGCACTACGTCATGTGCCTTGCAGCGTGGATATCACGTGCACCTAGCTAGCAGTGAGGAGACCACGTGCGCTCAGCAGCGTGGATATCACGTGCGCCTTGCAGCTGGTGGCACTAAACAGCAAAACAAGATATGTGAGAAAAACAAGATGTTTATCAGAGTGTGCTCAGCTGTTTCGGGCTGTTGAAAATAAGTCTCTTGTCAGGGTATATGGCCTGAGATGGCTGCATAGATGATAGCCACTTTCGGCTAGGAGTTGGCTCCCAACAGAGAACAACATGAGTTAACAACATAAGCAGTCTTTAAGATGAGCCTTTGTTGGATCGTATAGTGGAATGTTTTATTAGAGTTAGGCAAATTTATAGGAACTCAGATAATTTAGGGCAGTGGCATAGCAAGAAGAGGAACTATGAAGCATTTAATCAATGGAAACAGAGTTTGGGTAATGAGGTAACATAATATCTGTGAAAGCTTAGCTGTCAATGTAGTCAGAAGTCTGAGAAAGAGTAAACAATAATCTATCAGTTATATATTTAAAAAATGATAGAGTCCACTAGCCAACAGTTCCTGCGGTCTCTTATGGTCTCTTGGGCGAGTCAGTCTGGCTTTCAAGCGCAGAAGACGCAGGGCTTTTTCTCTGTGGAATGGGTATGCGTGACATGAGAAATGACTTATCTTAGTTTAGCCAAGTTATTTGACTCAGGTATGCAGTTTTGTCCACTGTGCTTTTCAGTGATTATCATATCACAATCCAGGCAGTATCTTCTAGGTGTGTCCACATCTTCTGAGACTATCTCGGGTCAACTGTTAAAGGCTTTGGGAATTCCATCTGTCATAAATTTAATAATTAGCAGACTTCTGACAAGTTTGAGAGCTATATGGATTGGTTGTAATTGAATAGAATTTAATAGCAGTAGTAAAACTCTATCAAGACAGGATAGGAAAGACTCTTAAGTAACTTTGGCAGGTTGCGTAGGTAGAGAAAAGCACATTTTTGTATTAGTAAAGAAAAATTTGGCTAGGATCAGAATAAGAAGTCTGGCAGCAGTGGCATAAGATCATGGTGACAGAAAATGAGTTTGTCTAGGCAGATTGAGGCCTGTGACATAAACTGAGCATGAGGGCCGTGGGAAGAGGCCAGGGGTGGGAGCGTGGATAGGTAAGCGTTTGGAAACCTTTTTCCCATTTACCAGACCGCTGGCAGTATGTGTGAAGATCTCTTCAAATATATGTTCAAAGACATCACAGCACACATTGGGGGGTTATTGGATTATTCATGCTGCGTCCCGAGAATAAATCAATAACCAAAAATTCCAGCCAGGCTAGAGGCCTAAGTCCTCACTAAGGCCCCCTAGAGGCTATACACGGTAAGTCCTGGACTTACTAGAAAGCGTTCCTACCCTAGGCCCAGGTTTTTTTTTTTTTTTTTTTTTTTTTAAACCAGCTGCAAGAGCCTGGAGGGGGAGGGGTGTGAGAGCCGCTTTCGAGGGGTGTGGTCACCCAAGGGTCTGGACAGGGCATTGAAATGTGTGTGTTCGAGGGATTTTTTTTTTTTTTGATCTGATAATAAGAAATGGCTCACAGGTCACTCCCCTGCCATGTCTGCCATGCAAGTGGCCGTAGCTGTGTAACACAGCTGGCGGGTCAGGGCTGTAGCTATGTTATGGACCTGTGGCAGCTGAGGCAGAAGTGTGTTTGGGTCCCTGCTACTGCAGGCCAGGACTTCCTACTACTAGAGGACAGAAATTGTGGCCCAGTGCCTCTGGCAGCCTGAGCCCCTAGTGGGCGGGGAAAAGGAAGTGTTCTGTATCACAGCAACGGGCATGCTAGTTATTCTTGTGGCAGACGCACTGCTAGCACTTACTTTATAGGTCCCAGACAGGGAGGGAGAGAGAGAGCTTCACTCACGTACTTGCTCTGGCAGCCAAGCCCTTCATGTGGTTGGTCATGCATGTGGGGAAGCTAGTATAGAATAGAGTTTATTCAGGGGAGGAGAGTTAAAAGGGTAGTAGAGACAGAAAAAGGCAGAGAGAGGGAGAGAGTAGAGAAGTAGTGGCAGGCCATGAGCACGTAGAGAGAGGAGGAAGGGAAGGGAGAAGGGGCGAGGGGACAGAGGGATCAAGAGAGAGCAAGAGAGTGAGCGAGTGAGAGAGAGGTGGGGGGAGGGGGCAAGTAGCCCCTTTTATAGTGGGCCAGGCCTACCTGGCTATTGCCAGGTAACTGTAGGGGTGGTGTTTAGACAGAATGGTAACATGGAATCCACATAGCATCAAAAGAAGATGCCTTGGGAGCCTAGATGTAGCAGCAGCTAGAAAGCCTCATCAGTCATGGAGTTGGGCAAACAAAACAAGAACAAAAACAACTGCACCACTAGCCTGGGAGGACAGAGAAAGCAAACAGGGAAGACCAGATGCATTCTAGGTAGTTGGAACACTGAGCTGGGTATAAAAGCCACCCTGGGAAGGAGCTCCAGACATCCTCACCTTCCCCCAAACCAGCCAGCCTCCACCATGTGTCACACCAGCTGCTCTTCAGGGTGTCAGCAAGCCTGCTGTGTGTCCAGCCTCTGCCAGTCAGCATGCTGCAGGCCTGCTATATACATTCCTTTTAGATACCAGGTAGCCTGCTGTGTGCCTGTGAGCTGCAGGCCCACTGTGTGCGTTGCCCCTTCCTGCCAGTCCTCTGTGTGTGTGCCTGTGAGCTGCCGTCCTGTCTGTGTGACGTCCTCCTGCCAGTCATCTGGATGCTGCTAGCCCTCCTACCCCACCCTGCCTGTCGCCTGTAGCAGCCCTTCCTGCTGTTGACCAGGGTCTCCAAGCCAGCTGCTGCCAGTGCAAACATGACACGTCCTTCTGTGGCTGTGCTGCACTTGAAAAAGATTGGAAGCACACCTAGCTCACCCTGGAACTTGGGAGAGAACACAGCCGAATAATACAGATACTTCTTCCCCTGCCTTTCTTTAAAGATGTCCTGGCTCCAGGATTGTTCTCTTATTCCCTGTGCTAAATAAAGTGGCTTCTCTAGTCAGCTACCCATGTCTGCCCTGGTTCCTGTCTGTCTTTCCTGGCAGCTTTGGCATCAGGCAGCATAGAAGATCAGTAGTTTCAATGATGCAGAATCACCATGGTTCCTTAGGAGGTGGCATGCAGGGAGGAGGGCCTGGCTTGATGAGTGGGTGTGTTTATGCCCCTGGCATTCCTGTGACTCCTGGGATGGACTTGCTGTATCTCTTTGCAGTGCCTGCTCCTGCTTGCCTTTCCTGTAGGGGGTGCTCATGCGTAGCGAATCCTAGAGTGTTTTATAAAAGGTTTTCTCTTTCCTTTATGGATGTGCTTTATTCCAAGTCACAGTGACTTTCTTCTTACTGGGCAACTTTGAAACGTTTGAATTTTAGTCACACAAACTGACCGGCTCCGAATCACCTCAGTACTGGGGAAATGTATACTCATTTTCTTATTGTTGATCAATTACAATATGACGGATACACATTTAGTCACTTGCCCATAAAGCAGCTAGAACACACATGTCTCACCTACTTCTTGAGGTGACCCCTGCTGTAGCCACATGTGTGTTGTTCTGGATCTTTTCACGGCATGGTGTGGGTCACCTCTGTTTCTATTTCAGATCATTTCAATAATCGATTTAATTTCTTTGTCCCTCTTGCTGGGACAAAATCTCCAGTGAATGGAGCCTGAAGGAAGGGCCTATTTTGCCTTACAGTTTGAGAGTATAGCTGTTCGGGTTGGGACGGTCATGGTGGAAGAAGGTAAGGTGGTAGCTCATATTGCATCTGCAGTCAGGAAGCAAACCGAGCAATCCATGCTGGTACTCAGTTGGCCTTCTTCTCTTTAGTCCGTCTGGAATCCCGGCCCGTGGAACAGTGCTTGTGCTGACTGTGGTTAGGGTGGGTCCTTTCTCCTCAGTCAAACCTTTCTGGAAACACAATCATTAGTATGCCCAGATGCCCATTTCCATGGTGATTTGAAATCCCATTAACAGTGGAGATAGACCTTCAAGGCTGTGTCTAGCTTTGGGAATGGTTTTCCTCTGGGAAGTGTTGGTTACAGTCTGTCTCCAGTAGCTGGCTCAATCCTCAATCTTTGCAGTCTGTTGTGACTGCTCCCTGTGAAGTTCCTGAGAGAAACAGACATGGCAGGGGGGGGGGGTGTCTCAACCTCTGCTGCACCCCATGACATCATCCTGGACCTGTTACTCTAGAGTTGTCCCTCTTGGCTGCCTGAGCTCCAAACTTTTCCTTTATTCCCCACAGGCTGGCCATGGGACATGAGTTGTAAAAGTTGTTTTATCCCTAAGTGGCCAGGGTGGTCAGGGCTCCACTGTTGGAATAAAACTGGCTCACTGCCCTGAACATGCAGCCTATGCCATACACCTACGGTGTGTTTACACCCCTGTTACACACATACACATGCACACACATACACTCCTGTTCTCACACCCTCATGCACATAAAAGGACACACATGGAAAAAGCTTACACACACATGTGTGCACACTCTCTCATACCCATATATTCAGGTGCTCATACTTACACATTCCCACATCCGTCTGTTTTATCACAATCATATGCACACACACACACACACATATACTTTGTTTGTTTGTTTGTTTGTTTGTTTTTCGAGACAGGGTTTCTCTGTATAGCCCTGGCTGCCTTGGAACTCACTCTGTAGACCAGGCTGGCCTCGAACTCAGAAATCCACCTGCCTCTGCCTCCCAAGTGCTGGGATTAAAGGCGAGTGCCACCACTGCCAGACACACACATACTTCTTCAGATGTATGCATGCTCTGCAGACACACAGCCATGCTTCCTTCTGCACACTCATACACCTTCACTCAAGCATGCCTGTGCATCATCCTGGTCTCTTATCTGAGAGTCTCCTATTTGTCTCTCTGCTGCTCAGGGGCAGGGGCAGGGGCAGGGGCAGGGGCAGGGTAGGGGCAGGGGCAGGGGCAGAGGCAAAGGTCCTGTCAATCCTGCAGTGTTAGCTTCTCTCATCCCTGTGACATAATAAAGGGTGAAACACTTAAAGGTACAGGATTCATCTTGGCTTATGTTTTTATTCTGGAACCTTTGATGGGAAAGATCTGGCCAGTTTCCTATTGTTCCAGGATGTAGTGGTTGGCTTCTCTAAATGGCATTGATCTCTTTTGACAGCTACACCCTCTGTAGCCATGGCCTTCTGATTGCTTCCTTTTCTAACCACTCAGCTCTGCTTTTAGTCCTTGATTCTCACTGTAAATCTGTCTAAAAGCTCCCAGTCATGACCAGGCCACTGCACGAACTCTCTGCTGCCTTGAGATCTCTTCCACCTGGTTCATTTAGCTACCACTATAAACTAAGCCTCACATAGCATTTCTGGATGCAGAGGAAATTCTCATGCTGAGTATCACATGGATGGCCTCTGGTCCAGTTCCCAACAGCATCCTAAGGACCATGAGTATATCCTTATGTGGAATTTTTGTTGACGTTCTAGACTTCCCAGTTCTCACCTGGGTGTCTCATTAGCTCTTTATACAGCATTTAAGGGTCATAAAAGCCTATATGTCAAAACTCTTACACAATGTATCCAAACCAACCATAGGCCTAAGGAACGCATAGTCAGGGTTAGTCGCAACAATGTCCCAACATCTCTGACCAATTTTGTGTATTAGTTACTTTTGCTTGACTATGCTGAATTACCCAGTAAAGCAACTTAAGGGAAGAAGGAGGCTTTTAGCTTTCGGATTCAGAGACTTCAGTTCACTGTGGGAGAGCAGAGCAGTCACAATGGGCCGCAGAAGAGAGATAACACTTGTAACTGATTAGTTTTCTTCTTTTCTCTGTTAATCCTGGCCCACTAGAGGGAGCCACTCCATTCAAAGAGAGTCTAGACTCACAGTTAAGCTTCCCTGGAAACATTTCACAGACCTGTTAGAGATGGACCTCCATCTCTTTGTGATTCTAAATCCATTCAAGTTGATGGTGAAGATGAATCTTCTTAGGGTCCCTCTAGAGCACCAGTCCTAGGTCTTTCCTAGCCTCCATCTGGTTACTAGGATCTCACTGAGGAGACAGGATGGTCCCCAGGAAGAGGGTTTGAAACAAAGGATCACAGAAAAAGGATGAGAGCCTTAACACTTTGATCACTCCGGGGGAGGTCTGATTTCCTTCAAAGCTGTGAGGATAGACAAGGAGAATAGAAAACGGAAGTTTGGGTGGTGCTTCAATACTACCCTGAGTGGTCTGGGGACAGGAGACCCTTCCTAAATCAGGGTAATCATGATGGAGTGTTGGCCGGAATGACAGGTCTCATCCAGGCAGGGCTAGTGTTTGAGGACTTGCAGGGAAGAACTCAGCAGCAGGCAGAGGAGGTACAACCAAGGGGCCAGCAGGAAGGGCATAGCAGAAGGGGCTGAAAGCATCTCGGGGACTGGTGGCTTTCATGGTCACCACAGGCCAGCTGGCAGGGGCAGACCTGGGGTATAGGGTCCTTCCCAACAGAACCACTTGGGGGTCTGGGGGTCTGCAGCATTAGTATCATCATCATCATCATCATCAGCAGCAGCAGCAGCAGCAGCAGCAGCCAAAAGCAAGCAATTCTCCCAGCCTTAGGAGGGCAGCAGGCAGTGATGGAGCAACACAGAGGCATAGGACAAGCAGATGGCCTAAGGAGCAGTCCATGTGGCAAGGTAGCAGGGACTAGGGAAGGTTTGGGCAGAGAAAAGAACAGGCCTTTAGTGGCATATGGTCACACATGAACATACAGTCATAGATACACATGTATGGTTATACAGACATTTACACTCACAAACACATGCACAGACTTTGAGCCTCGTGCACATTTGCATGAGTACACACATACACACACACACATACACACACACACACACACACACACACACACTGAGAGAGAGGTATCTTCCATACCCTTGCTTCTGTCTGTTATCTGACTCCATCTGTCCATCAGAAGAAGACATTCCCTGTGTCCAGCCTCCCTTCAAATCTTTCCTAACCCTATGAGAAGTGGGATCTTTGTGGGTGTGTCATGCAGGGAGAACTTCTGGACCCTTGGAACTTTGGGATCGCATTTGCAGAAATAGGAAGTGACAAAGCTTAGTAAAATCCAGATGGCCCCAGGGAAGGTGGGAGCCCAGACTCAGCAGGAGCTGGAGCAGGTATAATTAGCCATGAGACTGAAGGCAAACAAATCAGGAACAGGGACAACAGCAAAGCTAACCTGGGAGGTCAGAGGAAGCAAACAAGGAAGACCAGATGCATTCTGGGTAGCTGGAACACTGAG